CTAATTTAAAAGTTATAGCATGAAAATTATAACAAGTACAAAATGGTTACGAGGTCAGTCCCAGGGACCAAACCCATGCTGAAAGAGTTAAATATTATCAATTATGCAGTTATAGTTAATAAGTACCCTCACTTAAGCACAATTTAATGCACTGAGGGTGAATGAAGAACATGCTAATGTGTTTCCATTCTTTCAGTCTTCTTGACTAAACAAATTTCAGTCATTAGACTACTAATTTTCTACATAATCATTGGAAAAAAAGAAATCTGCCTTGTATTGGCTGAGACATTTAACTTAATCAGAGATGGAAGGTTTCTAAGTATTTGTAATTGTCATCTTTTATGTTAACAGTAAGAAAATCTACTATGTGAACGTAAGATATATTTTGTTATATATATATATATATAGATGCGTAAAGATAGAAAAATGGTTTTAATAAAACACATTGTTTAACGATTGTCTTGTGCATGTTACAAAATAATGAGACCTTTGATTTTGCTGGCCTTTTGGGGATAGTTCTTCAGTGTTAGGTGGGTGTGGTCTAACCAAATAACTGCCTCTGAATTGCCAAAGTTTCCTGACAACTATGAAATGGTCGAATAAAGCATCCTTGTATACTTTGACCATACCTCAACATTGAATCATTGATTTGTGAAATTGGCAGTGTTATTTTACTAGAACAAACTTAAATTGTAATATGATATCTTACCTCTGTTCTCATAAAGCTTTCTCGACTTATACTGCCCTCCATTGTCATAAATTTTTGCTTGCCACTAACCTTTATACTCCCACTTATTTTTGCATACTAACATGCAAATGTTTATGCAGCAACCCTCCACCAATAGGAAAGCGACACCACCCCTATTGTAACTAGTGGCCTCTCTAATCTTGCAACTGTTAACCACTTCTCGATTGGCAGTCTTATTGAATAAAATCACTCATGGTTTAATTCACTTATCTACAAGTTTTTAGTTGTTTAATTTTTCTAATTTAATTATGTTGTTCATTGCCATTTTCTTTTTTGTGGAGAATTACAACTTATTTTATTTATCTTCTCTTCTCTTTCAATTTTGTGAGTTATGTACTCGCAGTTTCATGTTGTCACATCTACAACTACTGCAGTGGAATTGCTGACCATGTCCAACAGATCATAACCATTATTATCGGCCAATGAAGTGATGGCTCTGCTCTGTTGGGAGTTGACCAATTTCATACAACAAACAGAACAAACCGAGGATTGTCCTATCATGGTTTTCAGTGTTCAGGAAGTTTTTGGTTTGGACAGCCCTTTTTCCCCTCCTGAATATGCCTATCAGTCGCATGTCTTTTTGGAGGACTTGCCAAGACCTCTTTCCCCTTTGGTGGATTTGATTCTTCAGGTATGTTATGTTTTGTCCTTATCTCCCATTTCCTGTTTTCTATTCCTGTTTTTCTCAAGGACTAGCCTTTGAGTCATTATTTTAGTGTTTCCTCGTTCCTTGAATATTGGGGCTCGTGTGAGTCATTTTGGGGAGCATTTGCATTCAGGTTGTCAGTATGCCTTGATCCCCCTATACTGTGGACGATCACGCTTTTGATTATCATTTCAACTTTCTGTATTTGGACTCACAACGTTGGTATCAGTTCTACCTTAGTGGGGATCAAACCCCCAAAATTTTTGATTACCTTTTCCTTTATTTGTCTTAGCCTGACCACCATTCTCAATTAAGGTCTAGTGGGGCGAGACTCCTTCAATTTGCCCATGCTTGGAGGTCCTTGGTGGCAGGTAATCAACAGGTTCTGAAAGTCATTTTGATAAGTCTGGTCATTATCTTCCATTCATCTCCCCATTGTATCACAATCATGTTTCCTTCACTCCTCCTTGCTTGCCTGACTCATTCCAGGGACCTTTGTTTCCACCATTATTTGGACATATAGCTGCTTCCTGCCTCCCCACAAGAGGACTCAGTCCTACATCCTCAGTTTGATCTCCAGGACACTGTCATGGTGGGTTGGCTTGTGAAAGTGGAGGAATTTTTCCTTTCATCTACACAGTTTTTTGGTTCATCTCGGGGTGTTTTTCAACTCGCTCCTTCATTGGGCCCAACCTGCTCCACTTCAGTTGTGGGCTATGGAATGTCTCGTATGGAGCATCTCATCATCTCCTTCTCTCTCTCGAAGCCCTTGTTCCTCTTAGCTATGCCCTCATGCCTTATTGTCAGTGTGTTTTGATAGACCAATGGAGCATTGTTTGGGATCCTTTAGATGCCTCTCTTACCCTTCCACCTCCCTTACAAACAGACCTAGACTGGTGGTTGGATCAGAAACATATTACCGTGGGCTATTCTCTTCCTCCTCCTCATTTGGAATGTAACCTTTTACGGTACTTCTTTTTCTGGTTGGGGGGGTCTCTCGACACTCAGGATGTTTTGAGGGAATGGTCTCTTTCCAAGTTCTCCCTCCATATCGATCTTGGCACTTCTTGCTGCTCGTCAGTCTTTCCTTCGCTTCCTGTGGGCTCCTATGGTAGTCTTGTATAATACCAGGGAAGGGGCATTCAGTCAACAGACCTGTTTTCTTGCATTGGATCTTCTGCATTTCATCCCACACTTTGTTGTCATGTCATAATCTAGGTGCCATTAATCTGGTCATGGGCTGGTTTCTGTTTCCAAATTTTGGTTTGTTCATATGAATTCAAGATTTATTATTATAGATGATGAAATTCCTGCCATAAGTATAATACTAGTCCCCAGGACTCGAGGTTGATGATGTCTGCTGTGGAAGTACAGGACTTAGTTCGTGGGGAATTTGTGTCTCATGTTTAAACAACGATTTTTTCCCTTTCATGTTACAATCTTTGTGGGATATAACTACAGTTTGGAAATTGTCTTTCTACGGAACTTTCCATCTGTTGCCATGCCTCCATGTAATCTGCTGGATTGAGTATTGTTCTTTTCCCACGAGATCTATGGTAAATTTTTCAGTGTGTATTTCTCACTCTCTGTAGGTATACCAATGTTCAGTGAGTTTGTGTGGATGAATCTAATTTCTACACTTGATAATTTAGGTTATTCATGTCTTCT